GTCGTCACTTCTCCTGACAAGAGGCACGCATGCATTCCCTGGTTCGAGCAACTTCCAGATCGCTTGCAGCTCTTGGAGTCGAACGGGTCGAGCAGTTCAAAGCTGAAAGTGACAATACAGGCAAGTTCTTTAGCAGAGGACTTTTGTGCCCTTGTCAAATCCCAGAATATGGTGGTCTCTTTCTCAACCTTGTCGAATGCAGCAGCTGTCCTGAGCAAGCATTTGAAACGAATCTATGTCCGCAATTTTGCGGCCAACTCAATGTTGAATTGCAATTTGTGGCCAGGAATTTCCTTGGTTCGCTACGGCATGGCAATAAGTGAGCAACACCATGAACCTTACAACAATACGTATGGTGGAGTTATTGAGTGGTTTCAGACCTACAATGTCAGTCAAATACACAGGACAGAGTGCAAATGAGCCGAGAAACATGCATTTCGGATCATTCGGGGATCTTGGGCTGGTGTTCAGGTGCTTTCGAGGCCAACCTTTCCCTCAGACTTTTCTAAATATGGGATAGGATTGCCCAGTTTGACTCGCTTTTGTGTTACAGTAGTTGCAGTGGACAAGGCCCTGCAAGGAAGGGAGAGAGAGAGAGAGCCATGTTCGAACATGTTGTGTTTTTCCACACTGCGAAGCATAGACTTGAAACACATCTATAGACTTGAAACACATGATTATTTCCGGTGTGCATATATAATCATATATATAAATTAATATATATATATATATGTATTTATATATATATATATCACACACACATATATATATACATACATAGACTATATAAAATCCATTAACCCAGGCACACATTGGGTATGAATGTACAGAACTAGCTGGTCAGAAACCTTTGAAAGGCACAGGCAAGCACGCCAGCATTTATGTAGGTCAAACAAACCTTGACCAGCACTGTCTAATCGCAGACGCCATATGTGGGAGAAATTGGGTGAGGCCGGAAGCTCCGACTAGATTTGGCTGACAATGTGTGGACCTTGGAATCCCTGGATCTTAGTTTGGTTACTGTATGTTACTGTCTTTGTTTGGAAGTGTGATGGGAGTGTGAGACGGTGTGATGGGTTTGGACCGTTTGGACTCTGGTTTGGATTTTTGGCATCGGGATCTGGCCCTGGCCATGCGGAGGTCTTTTGATGTCTTTTGTGATCTTTTTTGGGGTTCCTCGTGCAAACACATGCTCCACCTCCAGGTGTTTTCTGTCAGATTCTGTCAGCATGTTTTTACTTAGGAGCTTCGAGGAGCGCCTGCTAAGGGTGCTGGGAGGTGCCTTTGCAAAGGACTAATACGGCGCTAAAGGCTTACGTCTTGGTCATTCCATGTCATTCCTCAAGTCCAAAGAACCAAAAGAATCCAAAAGGAAGTACTGAAGATGTTTTAGCTAATGGTTGTGCACTTGGATTTAGGGAAATGAGAAGCGCGTAAGCTCACTTTGTGGCGGGTAGCATTTGGCTTGCAGGCAAACTGCATCAGGGTCAACTGCGTCCTTGACCTCAAACACTGTCTTTGAACGTTCGCTACTTTCAGTATCCTGCTATGCTTCACTGGACCGATGACCTACAGACGATCGCTGAGAGAAGTGCTGAGGTTGGCAATACCTGGGGCAGACGGAGGGTTTGGGACTCCGTGTTACACGGTGTTGCCGTTGTTGCCGTTGTTGCCTCCTTGCTCTAAGGGGTTAACGTGAAGACATCTGGTCTACTGAGTCTACTGTAGCCGCGTTCAGCTTGGTGATTCTGAGGGCTACAAGACCTAGAATGCCACAAGCTCCTCCAGTTGGCGGCCCACAACACCACAACACTGCAGCTTCAGCTGTGCTAAAAGGGTCGCAATATCCTGAAAGCGAATCTTGCAAGGCCCCGATCAAAACCAGTGGCACCACAGCGGCAAGTGGTGTGGTCACACCAGGCACGGTGTGTTGTATGTTTGCACAAACATTGACGACCGTTGTGTCTTGTGGAACAACATGTTGCCTACACTTTGAGAAAGTTTGCGTGTCGACAACATGGAGGGAAATGCAGTAAATTTGCACTAACCGCAGCTGTAGCTCCGAATACTTCCGAATCAAGGTGCTTGGATTCAAAACCAACGGCCCGATGCAATCAAAACGACTGAGCAGACATGGCAATGTTCTGGCGACTTCAGACGGCCAAGAGCTAGGAATGCTTTAGGGAGCATGCTAATACTTGTGTGAACCTGCTATCAAAATGGGGCATACAATGTATATAGTGTTTGGCATGAAGCTTGTCCGGAACAGAACCGCAAAGTCTTGATCCCTTCAGCTTGTTGAGATAACATTTATGATTTATGATCATTTAGCTTCGAATGGTGTGGCTGACATCCAGCTTCATGCCCTTAGATGGGTCGCCATGGGAACCGAGACAAGAAGGCAAGGTGAAGAACGGGCAAAGTGGATCTGCAAAGGAAATCCGCAACGATGAACCTATTCATTGCTGCGCTGACGTTCCAAGAGTGGAGCAGAGACACCTTTGATATCCTTTGATCTCCTTTCATCAAATTTCTATCCTTTGTTCTGAGCCCAATGCAGGCCCAGAAGCAGTGGCTTTCAGAGAAGCGACGCCTCTTTGCCTCAAGATCCCTCCAGATGCCTCAAGATGTCTCAAGCAATTGCCATTTCTTTTGCTTTACATTCCTCTACCATCCTTTCTTAGCTCTAACTCCTGTATATAAGATGATGAGATGCGACACACTCTCATCGGTCCTCATTGTGCAAAGACCGGCTGCTTGAGATCGGCTTAAATTTAGGCTTGCTTGATTGGCATATCTTTGGGTCAGAACCGACAATTTTGAGACAAACTGGTATGCCATATTGGACTGCTGATGATATTTGATCTATGCTTTCTTGAGCGATGTTTTGGCTGAGGTGGTGCAGATGTAGAAGAGGATCGCACTGTGTGCTTCGAGCACAATGCATAGAATACGATGGCAAAAGCAGTGTGCACACAAAGCAAAAACAGCTGATACGACTGCGTGCTTTGTTCAGGACGGGGGACTCTTGAAAGCCGAAGAAGACTTTCGCAGCCTCTTTGTTGCACACACACACACGTGCTGCAAGCAATCTCTTGCATTTTCTATTTTTTCGGGACTGGCCCAGTGCATCGCTTGATTGGGAATTGCTGTGGCATGCTCAACTCGTATGCCCAGCATGCTCTGTGTTGGCAGAAGGTTACTACGACTCCCAGGATTTTTTCGGGCCAGAGGGAGGTGAAGAACAGGCCAGCAGCGAACATGGTCCAGCGGATCATCGTTGAGACTTGATCCAATGGTCCTTCTAGGGATTGTCCAACAGGATGACCCCGTCATCCCTGGAGAAAGCTGTTTCCGAGTTCGCTAAAGATCGTTTTGTTTTTCTCCTTGGTGGCGGCTAAGAAATTGCTTACGACCGTGTGCTTTGGAGATTTTCAGACCTATGTGCCACAAAAACAAAGCTGCATTTTGATTTGTTGCCAGCGTTGTGTGCATTTTCCAGTACTGGTTCACTTATAGTTATATACGTGGGTGTATATATATAGTATAGTTTGAATGCCTCCTTGAGGCTGCTTTCTGGGAATCTTTGCGCTCTGCACTTCCGGTGACTTTGCGCGCTACCTGGCGAAAGAATTGAATACATTCCCAGGCCAGCAAAGTGCTTGCTGTTTTTCTTCACTAGCCCGTCAAGTCCTGAAAGCAGCAGTTTTAGAGTGAATGCCCGTAGCAGCCAAATGAGATCCACACTTTTCTAAGCTAAACAGGCTTGTGCGTGGCTATGACTATGCATGGTATACAAGTGATGTAGCCGATGCTCCTTGAAGTCTGCCATTCAATGCCAAGTTCAAAATTTTTCAAGGTCCGAGATGTTGCTGAAGACTCTTTGATCGCGCTTGGATGGAAGAGACGCCGGGAGCAACTTGGCGCACCCAACATGTTCCACATGGCTGCCAGAATGCTTTTCCGATGTATACGGGCTGCTTTGTGCTGCGGTGGGGGTTGACTCAACTGGGTGCTACAACTTGGCATAACTTGGCTTGAGCAATTTTGAGAGGTTTGATGCAGCTGGTGCCTTATCTGAACTTATTTGCATTCGCTGGAGAGGATGCTCCACACGTCTGCAGTCTGTTACCTTCCTGAGCCTGAGGAATGTCTGTCTGGGAAATTGACTCTTCGCAGCATCATGGATGCAAAGGCTTTGCAAAGGTGTGTCATGGTGTGTGTGGGTGTGTACTTAGTGTACTTCATTCACTTATTAATACTTATTATATATTTTGGAAGTTGTGGGAGTTGTCCGAATGGTTTTGGTGGAAATGGCATTTCACCAACAGAAAAGAACACAAGATATGTGGCATCCCCCCTTTGGAATCCCATTCGTCAAAGAGCATTTCATTTGACAAGGTACTCCAGAGACAGCAAGCTGCCTGGATGCACCGATAGAAAGCTACCACCGCACCACTGCAGTCCACAGCCAACAGGTTTTGCTTGGAAGTTTTCGTACCTGTGTCGCTACAGACTCTGTGGACGAGCAGGCTTCGAAATTGGGCAGAGCGTGAAAATCGTAGAGGTACTGTTTGTTTCCAGGAGCACCGCCGAGAATGAGCATGACAGGAATATATGTGGAAATCGTGGGAGAGGTATATTGCATATGCGTGATCATCCCTGGAGCAAGTCTTCACAGTGCATTGCTTTGACATTGCTTTGTTTTGTGACATGTTGTTTGACATGCGGTTTGGCGTGCTGGCTCAAGAGTGTCGAGGTGGTTTCACGGCGCTGGCCTGGCCAAGAAGCCATTGAGGCCTCATGTGCGTCACGTGAAAGCCTTGTCAAGGCTTGAAAGCACGTCTCTCAGAAGCGCCAGGATATGCAATGCCAGACGACGAAGAGGACGAATTAGAGACCGGTGAAGTTGATCCCAAAAAGAAAAAGAACAAAAGAAAGAAGAAAAAGAAAAATGCATCGCAGGATTCTCATGCAGATGAGGACGAGGCTGGAGTAGATACCCAGCACAGTTCGCGTGATTACTGGCCTGCTCCAGACAACTTTATGGGCCTTGATGAGAGGCCCAAGGACGAGGAATGGGTAGACATCACCTCCCTTTGCGACCTTGCAGTCTCCGGTATGAATCTGGGGGAGATGATGGAGAGTTCTAGCTTCCGTCTTTATGACGCCATGTCAGCCATTGAGATCATGGATCCGAAGATGGACACAGGCTACAAAAGCCAAGAGGATATGACCCTGGAGAAGGCTGAAGCGCTTGGCCTTGTTTCTGATCAGCTCGAGACAGAAGTTTTGATTGGCCTCATGGATCACCTCTTGATGTACTATTTGCTCTGGCTTGATGGGCATACTATTGTTCAGACATGCTTCTCGTGTTTGTATCTTCAAGATGCCCCCAGATTGCTGAAACCAATCCCAGCATTGGGCAGCTTTGTGGATGCCCTGCTTGTGACTTGCCAGAATGCAAAAGATGCGGTGAACAGTGCAGGAGTCTGGGATGATGAGGACTTTATGCCTACCATGTTCAACGTGGATTTTCAGGACTCCAGTGTGTTCAGCACGGATCCCATCAAGGTCAATGAGAAACTCAAGATCGAGAAAGAAAGGCAGCAGGATGAGGCCATACTTTGGCGGCTGGACTTCATTGGTAAATACATGTCAGCATTGGTGGCGTTGTCGAGGCCGAGGCCTTCAACCTTGCCCAGTGCCAAGGGGCTACTAGCGAAATGCGCACAGCTCCTGCCAAAGATTGAGAAATCGGCGAAGGCTCCAAGTGATGCCGTGAAGAAACGCTTTGATGCCTCCTTGAACAGAAAACTGCTGGTTCCAGGGCCTCCTCGACAGGTTGAGCCCATAGAGGATCCAAAGGTGGTCTTCAGCATGTGGGCCAAGCATATCAACGAGCTGAGCCTTGGCTGCACTTTGCTAACAAGGCCTTTGGGCGACCTTCTTGAAGGTGTGATAAGTGTGATACAAGAGGACAAGCCCAATGTGCTTAGCCGGTCAGTGGCACAGCTGGTGGTCTCAGATTCTGGCTTTGTGAGACAGCTGTTGCAGGAGTCTCTTGAGACGCATTTGTTTCCCCCAGAGGCCATGCAGCATTGCAAGAAACAAGCGGAGCCTTTTCTCCAACGTTGTGAGTCGATGTTCTTGCATATGCTGAAGCTCACGCATCTGAACCGTGCTCGGCGCTTTCGGAGGTTAGCCCATGTTTTTCCAGATTTCAATGAGCTTCAGCACGAGGCTTATCGCCTGGATGACACCTTGAAGTCTACCTTCGGTGCAAACTTGAAATACTCCAGACCCAGCTGGGGCTTCATCATGGATCATGCCTTGCAGGCAATGATTGCCAAATTGCTGATCGGTTTTCAGCTGGATATCTACGAGGAAGCAGAGCTCCACATGATCTACTGGTATGTAGACTATTTGTGTGGTCTCCGGATCTACTATCTCAATGAGATTTTTTATGCGAAAGAGTGCTCTGGAGGTAAGAAGAAGCCCAGCAGACCCAAAGATGCATTGTCTGGCAAAGGCAACAGACCAAAGAATCCGCCGCTGAGCCTTTTGCTGCTTGAGGCTATGCAATCCATGGTTCGCGGTCTTTTTCGGCTCTTGGCCTTTTGCTTGACCGAAAACCTTCTGACAAGCCCACAATCAGTCCGTGCTGGACTTGCCCAACGCTTCGTGTTGAGGTTCAGATGTTTGGAGACCTTCCGCCTGCCGCACCTACCATCATACCATGACTTTGACCAATCTGCTGTGCTGGCACAGGACCCTAAAGAGCGAAGAGGTGTTCTCACAGCAGCGCAGTCTTCCTTCCAAGATGCAGCACAGCTGCTAGAAAAGGTCCAAGGGGCATTGAGAGAAGATGGAAGAATGGAGGTTGGTGGCGACGACTTGCCAAAAGCCTTGCGGAGAGTGGTGGTTGCGAATCAACTCGGAATCACGCAGCTGCAACGCTTAGACCAAGAAGAATTGAGTGGCAAGAAGGTGCTTGCGGAGACTGTACATCACCCAGAGTTTATTTCCATCCAGGTGGTGGACAAGTAAGAAAGGCAGTAAGAGGCAGTAAGGGGCAGTAAGAGGTGAGAGCATTTTTGGAACAGAGCCTCTTGCCCTTGTTTGCGCACGCCGATCAAGCCACAATGCTGACAATTCGAAGGTTCAGCCAAATAGAAGGCTGGGACATGCTGGGACACCCTGCAGCCTATCGGTCGCCACCATCAAAAAAAGAACTTGCTACAAGTGACTTGATGAGACTTGGTCAGAACCCCTTCACTCCTGATTGCTGTCACCCGGTGGAATGTTTGACAGATGGAATGGAACCCCGAAAACTTACAAAGCCCTGCATCCAAAGGAATTGTCATATGAACGTTGGGATTTGGTTTGCACTATGTGCTTGTGGCCCTAATGATTAGATCCTAATGGACTTTGCTGTTTGAGCTTGAGTCGCCTCCTTTCCAGCATGCAGGAGCTAGTTTCTCTGGTCCCTGCCTTGCTATTGGCTCCCAAGCCTGGAGATGTTGCTTGGCGAAGCTGCAGAGAAATTGACAATGGCTACATGTGCCCCGGTCAATACATGGGTCATAAACGGGGATGGTTGTCAATCCAGTATCTAATAGAGACTCATATACCGATCTCAAGGATTCCCATTGTGGGATGGACCAATGGATGACCATAATCCATACCATGTCTTGACCATGTCACATACGTGCCTATGGCATGCTATGGCCTAGTATGCAGCAAGGTCTGCTTGGATCTTTGTGCAGCACCAGGGTGTGCCCCTCAGAAGGGGACACCGCTTTGCAGGTAAATTCGACGAACTATTTTTGGTGAAGCTGTAGGCATCAGGATCGCCAGGTGCATGTTGCTGTCACGCCTAACGTGACCCACAGAGCCTTCGCTCGACACTCTGACTAATCTGACTAAGGAATAAATCGCTGCAGCTCATAGAGGCATTAGCAGGACAAGGGGCCGGAGGAGCTGTTTTGTGTGGGCCACAGCCAATTGCGAAAGTACGTGGATGTGCCATGCAATATGCTTCAAAAATTAGTCCGGAATCGAAAGAGGACATAGTATGATACATTAAAATACATAAAACAGATATAAGCATAATAGGGATTAATAGGGTATATATATATATACAGAATCAGCTTTTTGATCTTTTTGTAGGTGTTGTAGCGGTTACCTTGATCTAAGGTCCGCAGACAATGATCCTCAGCGGAAGCTTGGCCAGCATTCTACATGTTATCGCAGCCTTGCGTAAGTCACCTTAGGTACCCGTGGGTTTTTCTTGGTTCAAAGGTTCTGCCAGAGATGACTGCTTTGGGAATCTTTGGGCATTTTTTGGACATTCACATGTGCTTTCGATTGATTCGGCTTCATGGCTTCAAATTCCCAGGTGCTGCTTGACGCTGCACCGTGTGCTTGGCAAAGCTGCATCGCCCATGTCGTGTGCTGCGCTGGCACATGCTGGGCACTTTCCTGTTCTTGTCGAGCCCTGGCCTAGATCAGATCGGGGTCAAGGAAGATCAAAAAGTCATTAAGACATATTAGATTAAATATAAAGAATCATTACGAATCATTATAATATAAAGACTATCAAACATCGATAAGACACAATGCGTTCGCCGCCTTTCGCCCGCACTCACAGAATCATGGCTCTTGAATGCCAAGAGCTCAAGAAGGGAGTAGGCGCAGGCCTCGGAATGCCTCTAAGGATAATTCATCTTCAGACCGACTCCACTACTCCAAGGTTGGAGCGCTGTCTTCCCGTAGCCTAAAGGATTGAACTTGTGACATGCGAAGAGTGACACAGGATAGCTTTTTGATGCTTTTTGCATGTTTTTCCCCACCTGCCAGGTGAGGGTTGTTAGATTTTATCAGAGCGCATGCCCGCCCGCCGCCTCTTCCTCCTCCTCCTCCTCGACTAGCTGTCCTCCTCGCCCTCCTCCTCGCCTCCGCCTCTTCCACCTCCACTTCCGCCTTGCCAACCTTGCCAACTCGTCGCCAAGCTCTTCGCCAACTTCCCAGCTCAGTGCGCACTGCTGGACCTCAACCTGCGAGCTGCCCAGCTCAGTGTGCACCGCTGAACCTCAACCTGCGAGCTGCCCAGCTCAGTGTGCACCGCTGGACCTCAACCGGGGACCTGAGTAGGTAATGCTTTTTGCATGTTTTTCCCCACCTGCCAGGTGAGGGTTGTTAGATTTTATCAGAGCGCATGCCCGCCCGCCGCCTCTTCCTCCTCCTCCTCCTCGACTAGCTGTCCTCCTTGCCCTCCTCCTCGCCTCCGCCTCTTCCACCTCCACTTCCGCCTTGCCAACCTTGCCAACTCGTCGCCAAGCTCTTCGCCAACTTCCCAGCTCAGTGCGCACTGCTGGACCTCAACCTGCGAGCTGCCCAGCTCAGTGTGCACCGCTGAACCTCAACCTGCGAGCTGCCCAGCTCAGTGTGCACCGCTGGACCTCAACCGGGGACCTGCCCAGCTCAGTGTGCACCGCTGGACCTCAACCGGGGACCTTCCCAGCTCAGTGTGCACCGCTGAACCTCAACCTGGGACCTGCCCAGCTCAGTGTGCGCCGCTGGACCTCAACCTGGGACCTGCCCAGCTCAGTGTGCACCGCTGGACCTCAACCTGGGACCTGCCCAGCTCAGTGTGCACCGCTGGACCTCAACGGCCAGATAGAATGCCAGATAAAATGCCATGAGATATGCCAGATAGAATGCCAGAAGATATGCCAGATAGAATGCCACAAGATATGCCAGATAGAATCCCAGAAGATTTGCCAGATAATATGCCAGAAGATATGCCAGATAGAATGCCAGAAGATTTGCCAGATAATATGCCAGATAGAATGCCAGAAGATATGCCAGAACATATGCCAGATAGAATGCCAGATAGAATGCCAGAAGATATGTCAGAATACATGCCAGAAGATATGCCAGATAGAATGCCAGAAGATATGTCAGATAGAATGCCAGAAGATATGCCAGATAGAATGCCAGAAGATATTCCAGATAGAATGCCAGAAGATTTGCCAGAAGATTTGCCAGATAGAATGCCAGAAGATATGCCAGAACAGATGCCAGAAGTTATGCCAGATAGAATGCCAGATAGCTTGCCAGAAGATATGTCAGATAGAATGCCAGAAGATTTGCCAGTAAGAACATGTAGAAATGTCATGGTGGGGATCACACGAAGTAAAGCAATTTTCTCCATACTTCTTTTCAGCCAGATTGAATGAAGGATTGCAGATGGTGCATTATCAATGGTATTCGATGGATAATATACATCATGTTTGCATGTATAAGCTGCATTAAGCCGCGCTCCTGTGGCCAGTCTGCAGAACCATTTTAAGACTCTGCATATGTGTAAAGACGTGATGAAACCAGGATGAACAGGCTTTCATTGTAACTCCTCCCAGATACTGGCGGATGTACCCTGCAGCGGCGATGGCACTGCCCGGAAGAACTCGCAGGCAAGCAGGGACCAGGTGTTGAAAGTCGGCCTAGGGTGGGGTTGTTCATTGGGGAGAGCAAGAGGGCAAACCCGATCAAACCTGCAAACCATTCACGGATTCCCTTCAGGGATCACCGGATACAATTGGAACGATACGGAGAAGTAGTATGGCCCATGCGCAAGGTTGACACGAACAAATCGATAAGTGTAACAAGTTTTCTTCAAGAAACCCGCAAACCAATCAATAATCAAGTGCGACACTGAAGACTCAACATGCCCGGTCAATACCGGGAACTTTACACAGTTTGCCTGGGGATATCACGAAGATACCAAAGGAGCCTACTACGACTAATCACGGACACGAATGACAAGCTTAGTAGCTAGGTGTGGCGCTCATGGTCGCGGCGTGATGCATTGAGCTTGCAACGACTGCAGCGACAGGCTAGTGATGGCAAATGGTGGCTGATAAAGTGCTGGAATAGTACTGTACTAAGCCGTGTGGGGAAATTGGAAAGCACGGTGAGCAGCTCAACTGTGATTAACTGTGACCCCCCAGTGAAGGAGAACCAGAAAGGTTCAACTTTTAAGGATAATGTAGACAAGTTGCATCTTGTATAAAGCAATGACACATTTTCACGTGCGTTTGTGTGTGTGTGTGAAACGTTTGAATAGATGTAAAGCTGTAAAACTTCTTCACGACAGGGGAACTGGGCACTGTGACTGACCCAGTTCAACGAAGCTAGGTCACAGAGTGGGATATCTGGATTGGCCATCCAGACGTACCTGCAATTTTCCGTTTCGTTGTCAATGGCAACCGGCTAAGCCAAGAACCGGCGTGTCATGGCGTGTCGTTTTCAAAGAGTTTTTCAAACCAAACTTTTGGACTTTCATTTGCTGTCACTTCGTTGACTGTACGGTTTTCGCAACCTGCCAAGGTGGGAACGATTTGGCTTGGTTGAAAGGGAAGGGTCAACTTCCAACTTATGGCATCTAGCACTGGCTATGGCATGCTATGGCGATGGTTCCTTCGTGATTCTTTCTCGGGTCTTTTCACCGACCCATTCCTGTCAGGTGTAGCTGGAATGTTTTTGCACGTGGGATGCATTCCACATCAGAATTCGCAATGACTGTTCTGAGCAAGAGTGCGATTCATGCTGGATTCGTCACGGTGGCATTAGGTATTCGGGGAATACCTTTCCAGGTAGGAGAGTGGATTCTTGCTCTGATCGCTGAGTTTACATTTTTCAACCTAGTAATTCGTCTAAGTAAAGTGTAACAGTCGTTCACCTTTCGGGTCTCACCCGGTCGGTCGCAGTGTTGAACAACTGCCCGCTGTCCTTGGGACTCAATTTTTTTCAGTGCAATTACCTGCTGTCGGTAGCCTGAAGCCGCGCCAACCTTCATTTTTCAACATTGCTCGAGAGTGTGACTGAACTGTGCCAGCATTTGCATCTTGATGAAATGCTCAGGCAGGTACACGACTTAGGTGTGGTTTTCTTTCTCTTGATGGTTTCTGGTGAGGTTCAAATGTGCCCGTAATTCGAGGGTTGACGACGTAAGCTGTCAATGGGGTTGATCTGACTACCGAGGGCCTTGAGCCTTATCACGAATCTTGCATGGATTGTGGATGCATCATTTTATTAACTAGTCCCCCATGGGTCCCCCATCTCATGTGTTTTCCTCTCTACAGGTAGGTTGGGTCCTGCGCGTGCCGAGGTAGGCTTAGGTTTCGCCGTGGTAGGTTGGTTCAGGCGCTTCCGTCCTCCCCCTCCTCCGCTGGTCTGGTTCCGTTTCCGTCGGCCTCCGCTTTTTTTCCTTGCCCTTTCAGGGTCTGCCCGCTCTGGGCCAGGTGTGTTTGTGTTGGTGTTCGCTCTTTCCCTCTTCTTTTGCGTTCTCTTCTTCGCGTCCTGGTTAAGTAACTTTCACCTCATTTTCATTTTCATCTCACTTTCATTTCCTTCATCTTCATTTTCATCTCATCCGTCCGGACCTTAAATTTCCCCACCCTCCTGCCGGAGGGTGTGTGTGTGAAACATCTGAATAGATGTAAAACTTCTTTACAACAGGGGAACTGGGCACTCTGTGACTGACCCAGTTCAACGAAGCTAGGTCACAGGGTGGGATATCTGGATTGGCCATCCAGACGTACCTGCAATTTTCCATTTCGTTGTCAATGGCAACCGGCTAAGCCAAGAACCGGCGTGTCATGGCGTGTCGTTTTCAAAGAGTTTTTCAAACCAAACTTTTGGACTTTCATTTGCTGTCACTTCGTTGACTGTACGGTTTTCGCAACCTGCCAAGGTGGGAACGATTTGGCTTGGTTGAAAGGGAAGGGTCAACTTCCAACTTATTGCATCTAGCACTGGCTATGGCATGCTATGGCGATGGTTCCTTCGTGATTCTTTCTCGGGTCTTTTCACCGACCCATTCCTGTCAGGTGCAACTGGAGTGTTTTTGCACGTGAGATGCATTCCACATCAGAATTCGCAATGATTGTTCTGAGCAAAAGTGTGTGTGTGTACCATCTGTAAAGATGTAAAGCTTCACTATATTGCAGGGGCGTGTGGCACTCATGTCCTACCACAAGCAATGAAGCTGTGGACATGAGTGGGATGGGAAAAGTGGCCGGTTTCCTGTACCTGCAACTTTATATATATATATATTTATACTCCCGCCCCTGGGCGCATATAAGTCGCAGCTGGGGGGTCAATGTCTATTGTGATTATACGTATATATATATATATATATGCATATATATATTATATATATTTATAAATATTCATTTTTCGTGTCAACTTATTGTTGGTGTTTTTGCACGTCAGATGCATTCCACATCTGAATTCGCAATGACTGTTCTGAGCAAGTGTGCGATTCATGCTGGATTCGTCACGGTGGCATGAACCCTTCGGGGAATACCTTTCCAGGTAGGAGAGTGAATTCTTGATCTGATCGCTGAAATTACATTTTTCAACCTTGTAATTCGTTTAAGTAAAGTGAAACAGTCGGCCATTTTTCAGCTTCTCACCCGTCGGTCGTTGTTTAACAGCTTGCCGCGGTGCCTGGCTCTCACCTTTTCTTTGATTGACATTTGTTTACATAGCTGGAAGCCACGACAACCTTCCTTTCCACTTTGCTCAAGAGTGTAACTGAGCTGTCACCGCAAATGCATCATGAAGGAATTTCCAGGCAGGCACACGACTTTAGGTTTGGTCCTTCTTTCTTTTTATGGTCGTTGGTACGGTTCAAATGTGCACGTAATTCACTTCTGACCACTGACAGCCGTTTATGGGGTTGACTCGACGTCTCGGCCATTGAGCCTGAATAGGGGGCTCTGCATGAAACTGTGGATGCATTTTTTCATTAACTAGTCCCCCATGGGTCCTTTATTTCATGTGTTCTTTCCCCTCTTCAGGTAGGTTGGGTCCTGCGCGTGCCGAGGTAGGCTTAGGTTTCGCCGTGATAGGTTGGTTCAGGCGCTTCCGTCCTCCCCCTCCTCCGCTGGTCTGGTTCCGTTTCCGTCGGCCTCCGGTTTTTTTCCTTGCCCTTTCAGGGTTTGCCCGTTCTGGGCCAGGTGTGTTTGTGTTGGTGTTTTCTCTTTCCCTCTTCTTTTGCGTTCCCCTCTTCGCGTCCTGGTTAAGTAATTTTCATTTCATGTTCATTTTCATTTCACTTTCATTGTCATTTCGTCTGCCCCGCTGTTGCGGGGCGTATGTGTATAGATGTAAAGCTTCACTATATTGCAGGGGCGTGTGGCACTCATGTCCTACCACACGCAATGAAGCTGTGGACATGAGTGGGATGGGAAAAGTGGCCGGTTTCCTGTACCTGCAACTTTATATATATATATATATTTATATAGTCCCGCCCCTGGGCGCATAGAAGTCGCAGCTGCGGGGGACCTATATTTTATCGCTGTTGTTTTTTACGGTCAATGTCTACTGTGATTATACGTATAATATATATATATATTATAAATATACATTCTTCGTGTCAACTTATTGTTGGTGTTTTTGCACGCCAGATGCATTCCACATCAGAATTTGCAATGACTGTTCTGAGCAAGTATGTGTGTTTGTGTGCGCGTACTTAGCAAAAATAATACCGTATAGCGTGTAGATCGTGCAGTACTTATATATACATATATATATATACACATATTTATATATATATATATATATATCTATCATAATTACGTGTATATATATATCTGCGTCTGTGTGTGTGTTCGTCATAACCACTTTATGCATTATTCTCAATCATGTACACGTGCAGGCAGAATCATCAAACATTTACACACACACACACAAAGAATCGCGTAGCATCAAAACGCAAACACATGTGTAAATTGAATAGATAACCTTAATAAATATAGACAGACAACATAAATGTAACACAAATGAATAGAATAGATAAATAAACACGTAAACACATGAAGAAATAGATAAATAACTAGCTATACAACTGAAGAAACAAGCAATATGCGTATAGACATACATACATACATACATGCATGCATACATACATACATGCTTACAGACATACAGACATACAGACATTTACAGACATATACAGACATATACAGACACATGCAGACACATAGAGACACATAGAGACACATAGAGACACATAGAGACACATAGAGACACATAGAGACACATAGAGACACATAGAGACACATAGAGACACATAGAGACACATAGAGACACATACAGACACATACGACACATACAGACACACACACATACATACATGCATGCATGCATGCATGCATGCATACATACATACATACACACACACCATATCATAGTAGTTAGGATTTGAAGAGCATTGAACATCGCCTTGTGCAAAGCCACTGGCGGTAGTGTTTCCTCTTGCCGCAGATTCTTCTGCGCGGGCTGTACCTGCTACCTCCGAATGGCGTCTTGGCAACGCTTCAAATGCCATGAGTGACAAGGCATACCACCACCTTATATTGCTCCAACATATGAAAGTTTGAAACATGTGCAAGATAACCGCTTCCCAAGTTGATTGACGAGTCTGCAGAATAAGGATTGTTGCACAAGGGAAACGCAGAAATAGCAGCCTTGCTTGTGAGTCTGGCTGCCTTCATACAAGGCGTACTGGTTTATTCTACTTGCTCGCTCAATCCCTTGGAGAACGAGGCCCCCATTACTGTAAATGCGACAGGCTGCATCTTGTAAACGGTCGCTTTGACTCAGACTCAGATGTCCAATCCATTCACATCAGTCTGCCAGCTGCGCGCAGGCTGTTGTTCTGAGTACCTTGAGAAAATGGCACAACTCTCGGGCAGAAGGCCGTTCGAAATCATACAGATTCTGAGAAGATAAAGGACAAGGAGAAAACAAGAGCTGGAATCAGATGAATTCCGCGGAGTGTTGGTTCACATGCCAGGTCGTGAAGATCGCCCCAAGCTTCTGCTGCTTGATGCTGTGGCGACTCAGCGGCTCTAGCGCAATGGGCTAGGCTTGTGATTGATGATACTGATAGTCTACTGATAGTCGCTGGCTTCTTGGTTGCTGCATGTTGCTGCTGTTTGGCCACCCCTGCCCCCATGCCCAGTGATTTTATGCTTGACAATTCCAAGGCCATCATCAAAGACAAATGCGGTTTGCAGCCAGTTGCGACCCTAGAATACAGTGCTGCTGCCAGCATTCTTTGAGCGAACATAGCAAATTCTGCTTGGCAATGCTTGATGTTTTTGGGAGGCCCCGAAGCTTAGCAGACCAGCAAACGTCCGCAAGGTGAAATTGTGGACAAAACAAGATTTTGGAAAGCACAGTTGCTGACCCACAATTGAGACCTTTCTCCACGGGTCAACTTGGCAATGGAATGAATTCAGATGAATTCAGCATATTGCAGCTGTAGGCCCCAAGGTTGGCACTAAAACGAATTACAACGCCAGAGCCGCCGAGTCTAAGGCGCCAGGGCTCTGCAAATGGCGTGTGCCATCCCCGCAACGTGGAGGTCCACTATTCCAGAGCTTTGCAGAGGCCGGGCTTGCATCCCAAGCACCACAGAGAATCACAATATGAACATTATGAACTTATAAGAACTAGCCACAGACGTTCAATATGTTCAATGGAAGATGGTTCATTTGTAAAAGCACATGCTAGTCAAAAGAAATTACGAATACAACTTTGAATGTGCATTGTGAATGTGGAGGTGCCTGAAGAGCTGCGGAGTGCCGAGCGCGCCATGGCTCAAATCTTGCTGCGACGCTTGAAGTTGTGACATGAAATGGCGCGCAAAAAAATACTGAATTGAAGCATTTTGTGAAGCATTTGGGAAATGGTGAACACATACTGACACACACTGCTGACACATCACATGTAATACCCGTACGGTATATATGGGGATATATGGGTATATATGGGGATATATGGGCATATATGGGTATATATGGGTATCTATGGGTATCTATGGGTATCTATGGGTATCTATGGGTATCTATCTATCTATCTATCGATCGATCGATCGATCGATCGATCGATCCATCTATCGATCTATCGATCTATCGATCTATCGATCTATCGATCGATCGATCGATCGATCGATCGATCCATCGATCCATCGATCCATCGATCCATCTATCCATCTATCCATCTATCCATCTATCTATCTATCTATCTATCTAAATCTTTTTCCCGAATGCGTAGCAAGGGTTCCCGTTTCACTCTGGGGGTCTGGGGGCTGAGGGTGTGTTCGCTCGACATTGCGTTTACGTCCGCGACCGTCCGCAACCGTCCGCAACCTTTCGCGCGATTGCTATATGGCCGTGTCTATAGTAAGTTCTTTAGAAGGGGTCATTTTTGGAGGTTTCAAATGTCTCGTTGCTTCGTTTCGCGTGGCAGGCGTGGCACTTCCTGACATTCAGACGTGTTTTGTAACGTGTCGAAAGTCGTTTTGTGTGGCAGGCGCAATACTTTTGCGACGTTTTCAGATGCGTTGCAGTTTTCGTGGCAGGCGCAGCACTTTGGACACGTCCATCGTCATTTTGCGTGGCAGGCGCAGCGCTTTAGACGTGTCGTGTTGCGTGTTTTTTGCAAATCGCATTGGCAGGGCTGCGTCAAGTGGCGACAGGGTGCAGATTCCGTGGCAGGCGTGGCATTTTGTGAGATGTGCTGAAAATTGACGGAGGCCTCGTACGAAACATCGATTTTGAGGTGAACAATTTCGATGCTCCTAAGAAAATTCGTAGGAAAACGTCGATTTTGAAGCTACAAAGGGTCAAAATTAGCGGAAGTCTCGCATGAAATGCTCGTTTTGCTGCGCCCACGTGTCTCGTCTCGAGCCTCTGGTTTTCCTGTGGCTTCGCCGTGTCTATGGGGGAAGTTACAAAATCTCTCCTTTTCAAATGTTTTCAATCAGATTGTCATGTCGTTTTGCGTGGCAGGCATGGCACTTTGTGACATTCCAACCTGTTTGATAAAGTGTCGAAAGTGGCAAAATTGGAGGAAGTCTCGCACGAAATACTTGTTTTGCTGCGCCCACGTGTCTCGTCTCGAGTCTCTAGTTTTCCTGTGGCCTCGCCGTGTCTATGGGGGAAGCTGCAAAACCTTTCCTTTTCGAAGGTTTCCAAGCAGGTTATCATGTCGTTTTGCGTGGCAGGCGAAATACTTTTGTGGCGTTTCCACAAGATGAGTTGCAGTTTTCGTGGCAGGAGCAACATTTTGGTCTGTCGTCATTTTGCGTGGCAGGCGCAGCACTTCAGACGTGTCGCGTTGTGTGCTCTACACTCCACACTCCACGCTCCACCCTTTACACTTCACACTCCGCACTTTACATTCCACACTTTACACTCTACACTTTACACTCTACACTTTACACTCCACACTTTACACTCCACACTCAACACTTTACACTTTGCACTCCACACTTTACACTCCACACTCTACACTTCACACTCTACACTTGACACTCCACACTCCACCACACTCTACACTCACACTCCACACCCTACACTCCACACTCTACACTTTACACTCCACAGTCCACAATCTACACTTTACACTCTACACTTTACACTTGACACTTTATACTCTACACTCCACACTCCACACTTTACACTCCACACTTTACACTGTACACTCCACACTTTACACTCCACACTTTACAGTCTACACTCCGCACTCCACACTTTACACTTTACACTCCACTCTTTACACTCCACACTCTACACTCCACACTTTACACTCCACACTCCACACTTTACACTCCACACTCCACACCCCCCTTTTTTTACTTTACACTCCACACTCTACACTTTACACTCCACACTTTACACTCCACACTCCACACTTTACACTTGACACTCCACACTTTACTCTCCATACTTTACACTCCAGACTCTACACTCCACACTCCACACTTAGCAGGCTACGTTCTTCCATATTCCACAGTCTACGGTGCATTGGTATGGTAGCAGGGGAAAAATGTACAAGACTGTTCAAATAAACTGTTTCAGAAAAGTGTTCTGTGTGACTGCATATCCATGTGTTTCGACATCTGTGCCATTAACATACGAGTGAGCATTCGGGTTCGTGGGTGCATTTTGTCTTACTGTCTTGCTACCTGTACTAGCATTGCATTGGATTGCCTGGCGATCATGCGGGCTCCAAGCACGAACCTGGCATCCGAGGTTTCTCTTTGCAGCCTGAGATGTTTTCTGACGACCCCTTGGCTCAGGATCAATAGCTTTGCGGCACCTGTTCCGAGACGTGCAGCATCTCCAACGGATTTCAGAGTCCTATGAAAACTACAAAACATCCAGTACAATCAGTACACATGTTAAAAAAAACGAAATAAACTGAAATGTTGAAAGAACCTCGTTAAGAGTACGATGGTGCAGTCACGCAAGGTTCAGGCTTGGCTAAGTCACGAAGTCTACATTTGGCGCAGGGCCTGCTTGGCTCAAGTCCCAACTGTTTCAACGAAGTGAAGCAAATGGCGTCTTCAATGGAGGGCACATCTGAAGAGAAGATGCCGCTCCTGGCAGAAGAGGGGAAGGCACAGGAATCCAAAGCTGATGCTGATGAGGCCTGTCTCCACAGCAAGATGCAGCATGACTCATGGGTTGACCGCAGATGTATCGTGATGTATCTTTTCAATTGTTTTTTGGACCGGTGTTAGGAGTCGTTCTCAATTCGCCGAACTTCTCCTTTGACTTTAAATCAAATTTAGTTTCACCATGTTTCACCAGTTCCCCAAAGACGTTCAACAACCCAAAGGTTGACAGCAATAGGGTACTATATCTTTGGATGTGTTTGTTGCATGTTTGGTCCATACGTCGGATGTTCATGGATATTCGTTTCTGAGTGTAGGACTCCATGAGCTACGATTCCCGGAACTTGCTCAGCTTCAAAGTCTGGCAAAACTTGGCGGGCACCGTTTGGACCAAGTCGTCCCTTTGGAAGATGATGGGAATCCTTCTTCTCATTGCATTGTCGGTTGCAGCCAGCGTGGCAGTTTCTTGGCTTTAAAATGTTTGAAGCGTATTCAAACAAGTCGACCTGAATCTCGACGTATCCTAGCTGGCGGGATTCTCAAAATTTGTTCATGCAAGATCATGCCGGAAAGGGACAAGTCACAACTCTGTTCAATTCTGTTCAGTTCCAGATTTTTGCCTTGGATCCTCCCTACTCGCCAAGCTCAACGTGGCCAGATTCCAACGGATTAGCTCCTTCTTGGAGGTGGTTGTTGGCTTACTTCTTGGCTTCTTCCTTTCAAGCTCAATGCAAAGGCTGGGAATCCAATTTGTCCGATTTCAGAATTATAACAGATTTGATCGCAACCACTTACTTCTTTGATTCTGTTTTACTGGAGAGGTCACATGAACAGCACGTCCAGCGGCAGAGATCTAGGGATGGACATAGATGCAAGATATTGCAAGACAATGCAACCAATCCTTGTCAACTTCCATATGGGCCAGCCCAGTCTTGAGCGCATGGCATGACAATTTGCCTCCGATTGGCTTGTTGATGCTTTTGCACTTGGTGTGATGCTGTGCCCACAGATCTGCACAGTACGCTGCAGGTGGTACAGCTGCACCAATGGCTTCTTGGAACTGTTCGATGCCATCCGCGGTTTGCACATGCAGCTGAATGCCATGGGTGTCGCGAAGGAGCTGGCCTCAGTGGTGTTGTAGGTTGTCCGTCTGATGTCTAGTCGCTCTTATGCCCTTGGCAACAATCATGGCACTAGCAGGACAGGAGCAGACAGATGTTTAAAAGACAGGAGGAATGCAAACTGCGCTTGCGCCAGATTGTGTGGATGTGTGAGGGCCAAAGAGACAGAACAAACTGCAATGGAGTACACTGGAGACTGAGTAAACATGCGTATGCCAAATCATGCATATAAAAAATAGATAGACATGAACACTTGCAGCATGTAGTGGGGACAGTCAGAAATCCAAGAGGAAGATTGAGCCAGATGGGAAGCATGGGAAGCCAGGTGTTGTAGTTCTCTCATGTTCTCTCCGCAATTGAGCACTCAATATCCGCGCCTCTATATGGTCAGCGACTTATGCAAGAAGGTTTGCCTCGCTTCTCTGTTCTAAGGACAAGGTCCAACTGTGCTTGCGCTACTGTGTGATGCAACATGGGCTGCACAGAGACATGTTGGGATTGCCACGGCTGGAGCATTGTCCTTGCGTATTTGGCAGCACCATATTCACTTGGGGACTTTGATTAGGTTCCCTCAGATTTCTGAAGGTGTTGAACCACAAGACACGCAGTCATTGATAATGGCAACGATGTGTTTTTCGTCTTTTGTTCCCACTTTCATCCAGCCAGATTGGACTTGTTCCCAAAGAGATCGGATATGGCTCTGGTTTTTCTCCACTACGTACTTCACGTAGTTAATTTTGCGTAAACACTCTTCAACTTATATAATACATATATCATATATCATTGTATCATTATTGTGATGCTAAAGCACCAGACCTTCTGGCCAGTTCTAGACCACCTAATGTTGATGTTCCGACAAAGGAAAACGCGGCAATGCGGGACGCGGGCCTCGACCTTCGTTGCTTCTGCCCAGGTCGGCCTACTGCTTGAACCACGACCTGACGTCCGCCCCAATGACGCCAGAGGACCGAGATGCCTACTTGGAACAATGTTGGAAGGATGTGACGGTGGAGAAGGATACTGACACTTGGAGCAAGATGTCAGCATGTACTTTCAACGTCTTTCAAATTTGTAAATTTCAAAAGTGTTTTTTCGAGGTCAAACATCTTGAATTGGCAAGTAGTGATCAAGTGATCATGCCATTTCTATTTGCGTGTACGTGGCATCACCTGTTTGACCGTAGAACTCGAACCTCCGAGGAGATCAAATGGGAGCAATTCCAAGAGCATTGCTCGTCTCCTGCCCAACGAGACCGAAACATTGAAGCAAATCGTCGATCCTGCTCAAACACTCTGGGTTTGGATCACCTCTCTGTTATCTCGTCTGGCTGCTGATGGTGAGATTCCTCCCATCCCAACCCCTACATACGGTCGGGTCATCACAATGGCAGAGCAAGCATACACCGGTATCCGAGCTGTTCGAGCATCCATTCGTGTTCAGCCTCCCTATGTTCACGTTCAAATGATGGCGGCGCTGGTCCTTGTTTCTTGACATCTTCAGACATTTTCCAAACATGTCATGATGATGTCATCGCTCGTGTCACTGCACGATCGGACAGATTTATGAGTTTTATGAGAGCTTCAGGGCTGTTTCCGAAGCCACTCTGCTTGCGTTGTCACCCATTGTCATGTTGCCTACCCGGATCCACCCAGGCCTACCCCGTTGTCCCATGTTGTTCCCTTTAAGGTTAACAACATCATCAACGCCATCAGCATCGGCTTGGCGTCGGGTGTTACCTTCAGCATGGTCCTCGCAAGTTCTCATTTGGGCACTTTCGAGAGCAAAGTGCATGCAGAAGACTTGTCTCACAGTCTCCAAGATTTGACGGTGAGCATGATCTTGTGCAGTGTCGGACCTTTCCTCTATCAGGCATTGCTTGAGGTGGCTGTGTGCATTGCACAGCCATTCGCCATTGCTGGCAAAGGGGTTGCCCCTGGACGCATCCCAACAGAAAAGCTGCTGCACCACTTGGAGAAAGACCTCCGAGACATTGAGTACATGAGCAAAAATCTGCCATGGTGGGAGCAGGCCTACTTCAAGCCCAAGAACTGAGGCAAGGAGGGTAGCAGACAAAGGAACGAACCCGCACGAATGCGAAAATGATCAAACATCGCCTGCAGCTTTGCAAATTTGGGCAGTGACATGGCAGTGATGACTGATGGAGGAATGATTCCCGATGTCGCATGATGTCGCTGAATCCGTGTGTTGTCCTGGGTCGTTGACGGATTGTGGGACACGTCATGACACGTCTTGACACGTCCAAAGTATTCCAACATAGAGCTGGGAGGACATGGTGCGCTGCGCGCGCTTCTACCCTCAGACTTGCAACACGGGGGGCTTCTTCGTGGGGAGCCAAGCTATCACACTGTTCTTTGGCGGTGTCATGTCAGGATATGTCGGGAAGGGGTCCTCGTTTTTTACCCGACTTACTCAGCACTGAGCACCACTTGGCCTCACTCTATGTAAGGTGTGCATCATCCAGAAGTCAGCAGCTGCTCCTCTAGGTAAGGATGTATCATGTCCTGATATTACGTGATATTACCTGATATATTTCCATATAATTACTATCGTATACTTCCCGTACATTTCTGGTACTGCACTTGTGATCACTTGTGACGCTGTGCCATGCTGTGCCTGGTGTTGCTTTGGGCAGGTCCGCCTGTGCGCCAACTCAACGACAAACAGCTTGAGGGTCGTGGAGCGCATCCGTTGCTGAGTGCCTACTGGCTTTGTTGTGTTTGCGTGTGAAGGTGCAAAAGAGAACGCACATGTTTGGGCAATACACGAGGTGTTTTGGCATGGAGTTTTTGAACCAGCGGTGAGGTACAAAGTTCCATCGGATCTCTGCCTCTGATTCGGCTTGGAAAGAGTTGACGAGTTTCTTCAAGCTGGATCTGGCATGGTGCAAGGAGACCTCAAGACGCATGTTGATGCATGATAATTGATAATGCATGGTGATGCATTAATTATGATGCACGGGTCATGGAACTGAGCCACATTTTGACCAAGTGTAGCTGAAACTCTCAGATTTTGTTGAGGTCATCGCTGTGAAATTATGTGGGGAGTGCAGGACAAGTTGCAGCGTGGACTGCTCTTTTGGCAAACCATGAAAGGAAAGTCAGAACCCGAACGCGTGACGCTGGCAACTCGTCGCGACACCAGATCAAGCCCTACATTGTCACTGCTCTCTCTCTCTCTCAATATACATATACATACATATGCATAATTCCATATATATATATACACGATATGATATATATGCATATACATATTAGTATTATTATCATGATCATCATTATTTTTTTTAAAACAGCATCATCATCATCATCATCATCATTATGATTATGATGATGATTATTATTATTATATTATTATTATTATTATTTACTTATATATATATACGCATATATACGCATACAATATATCTATCTATGCCGAGTCTCTATGCTTATTGTTACCATCCACTGCCCCTTGCCCCTTTTGACTGGCAGTTTGAATCGAGTACTTCCGTCACGCTGCACATCACGCTGTCCAATCTCCTGTCCCTCCAAGCAAGAGACAGTCCACCAAACTTTCCTGCACGTTTGAATATGTGAAGAGAAGAGGTCTCAGACGCTGTTGCGAATCTCTGGGCAGCCAAGCCCTGTGATGGAAGAAAGGCAGGAACGCAGACAACTTGCACGAATGTTGGCCATGTCTTGTTGAAACATATACTGACTCATATACATATACCCTCCTCTACAAAATCAAGGGAGTATGATATGGATGCGACTGTAGATCAGCATGTTGGAGCTGTGGTGCCAGTTTATCTGATATTTGTGTGATGGGGCCTGCAGGTTGCCTGGGCCCGGCTTGGTGTTTTCCTGTTTGAGCAACTACCAAAGGCTGGCCAAGCAAAGAACTTGATTGTCACCATTCAGAGTGAGCCCTGGAACAGAGATGAGATGCTCAGGGTCAGATTTCTGTAGATTTGCCAAGTCAAGTGAGAGAAAGAACGTGTTGCTCCAGGGCCTGTTGAGTGGGCTGGCACCTTGCCGCTGGCGCTTGCATGCCGAGGTGAAGGAATTTACAGTTACAGTACATGTTTTCGAGTTGCAGCTCATGATGTCAAGAATATTGGAGAACACTCAGCAGCGAAAGTCATTGCGAAAGCACTCTCTTTTTAGTCTTCATTAGTTTCCTACATTTTGCTCTATTTTCCTTTGCAGGGCGTCATGGTTTTGGCACCAATCCTTCAGAGCCGTCGAGTTTGTCTTGAGCTGGGCACTAAAAAATCCAGCCATTTCTTCAGCATCTTTGAGCAACTAAACTGCCGATCCAAGCGGGTGCAGCGGTGTGCCACGTGGCTGTGATCCCCCCAGATCCCCAAGGCCTGCTTTGGTACAACAGGTTTTGT